TGGAGCTTAAGTAACTTAATGGGATGAAACTCTTTTCCACTTTCCCTCATTTCCTATAGGCTGATTAAAATAAAATAAAATAAAATAAAATAAAAAGAACTAGTAAATCTTGAAAGCCTGTGAGGCCAGACAAGCCCCCAATCAATTGGGAAAAGATACAGTTACCACATACATTAGAATAAAAGCCAAGTGAAATGTCCTGTCTCAGTGTGCTCACTAGCTCCTTTGGGATCTTTGTTTGTTGCTTTGTTTCTGGGGCAAGGGTTTCTCTGTGTAGCCCTGGCTGGCCTGGAGCTCACTGTGTAGATCAGGCTGGCCTCAAACTCATAGAGATCCACCTGCCTCTGCCTCTCTAGTACTTAAACACATGCGTGCCACCATAACCCGTCCTGTTTGGGTTCTTGGGTATCCTTTTTACTGAAAGGAATTGCCTTGCCAAGTTACTTTCTCTCTCTCTCTCTCTCTCTCTCTCTCTCTCTTTTTTTTTTTTTTTTTTGGTTTTTACGAGACAGGGTTTCTCTGTGGCTTTGGAGCCTGTCCTGGAACTAGCTCTGTAGACCAGGCTGGCCTCGAACTCCCAGAGATCCGCCTGCCTCTGCCTCCTGAGTGCTGGGATTAAAGGCGTGCGCCACCACCACCCGGCCAAGTTACTTTCTCTTTGTTCCTATGTTCTCTGTGTGACACCAAGATTAGTCTAACAACTTTAAAAGGAAGTGAACAGACACCATTCTGCTTCCATGGGATCTCAAATCAGAGCACCAGGAAACAGAAAATGTGGCAGTTGAGAATGGAGGAATTGGTTCATGATGGTCTTGCTCGAGCATGGCATGCCCAAAGGTGCACATGCCAATTCTAATGAGTTTATTAGAAAGCATTTTCCTATTGAATATAGGGTAGAGTGAGACAAATGAGCAGACTCTAACTTTCCCTGAGAGTATTTGGCTAGGAATTAAACATTGTTAAAGAGCTTTAATAATAGGCCTTACTTTAAGAACCCTTTAATATTTACTTCAAATAAACTGAACACTTGAGAACCAGCCAGTTTTACCCTTTGATCGACAGCTGGCAGGCCCTCCACTTGTGCCTAGCTGACTTGATTTAACCAAGAGTTGTTAATCAATCTACTCTTCTATTGATGGTCAGCTGAACTGTCACCATGACAACCCAGTTCCTTTGAATCGTGCATAGATACCTTCCACTACCAGTAACATTGTAACCATGGTGAAAACGGCATGACACTGCTTCGAGAGACCTTACTCCAGTCATGACTGTTTCAAGCAGCTCGTATGGGCTCTGGGGAACTCCCTGCTCACCAAGACAACCCTCTAAGTTCTACGTAGCTCTACTGACCTTGCAGCAATTCTCTTTCAGCACAGGGGAGGGAGAGGAGAAAAAGTATCTCTTCAGTGACTCAATAAAAAGCCTGAAATTGGTGGAATTTAAGGTTTGCGATTGGTAGCATATACAAGGCTATAATTGGAATTATAATCGGATCAAAGTGTGCCAACCCTTCTTCAAGCTATACAGCTGCTTTTTTTTTTTTGTATTAGTGTGGGAGGCCACTCTGTTTACTCAACCTCTAGTTTACAACATGAAGCCAAAATGAAGACTTTTTTTTTTTCATTTTTTGAGACAGGGTTTCTCTGTGTAGCTTTGGAGTCTGTCCTGGAACTTGCTCTGTAGACTGGGCTGGCCTCAAACTCACAGAGATCCGCCCGCCTCTGTCTCCTGATTGTCGGGATTAAAGGTGTGCACCACCACCGCCCAGCCCAAATAAAGACTTCTTATGGTCATTGTCCTGATCAGCACACAAACACAAAAATCAGACAAAACCCAAGGTTTCTGGCAATGGCAGCAGAAAGGCTAGTGAAGAGGTCAGGGAAGGGTTTGGTGAGATGCTTCAGTGGGTAAGAGGGTTTATGCTAATAAGAGGACCTGAGTTCAAACCCCATCAGCTACACACATACACACACAAAAGTTCCAGAGACTGCCCGGTGTAGTGGGACACACTTAATCTCAGTACTCAGATCGACAGGAGTTGGAGACTAGCCTGGTCTTCACACTTGAGTTCCAGGACAGGAAACTTATATAAGGAGACCCTGTCTCAAACAAAGAAAAACAATTGCAGAGAATCACCAGAGCTAAGGGTGATCATTGATTTTCCAGCCTCTTAATTCTGCCATTTGTGCTAAATATGTGAAGTGGGGTGCATGTACTGAAAATTATAAACGCTAACTATTAAATTATTAAAATATAACTATTACATTTCTAGCACTCAGGAAATAGAGGTAATCAGCCAGGCTGATTGAGACTCGTCTCAAAAAAAAAAAGTGTTGAAGATGCTTTAGTTGGGTTTCTATTGCTGTGAAGAGACACCATGGTAACTCTTATAAAGGAAAACACTTAATTGAGGTGGTGGGGAGCATGGAAGTGTGCAGGTAGACATGGGCTGGCTCAGAAGGCAACAGGAAGTGAACTGAGCATCATACTGAGCAAACCTTGAGCAAAGGAGACTTCCCTCACAACTGTGACACACTTCCTTCAACAAGGCCACACCTACTCCAACAAGGCCATACTTCTTAATAGTGTGCTACTCCCTATAGGTTTATGAAAGCCAATTACATTCAAACTACCACAAATATCAAAGATTAAGATTTAATATGCAGGGGCTGGAGAAACGATTTAGCAGTTAAAAACATGTTGTTGCTAAAGACCCAGGCTTGCTTGTTGGGCGGTGGTGGTGTACACCTTTAATCCCAGCACTTGGGGGGCAGAGGCAGGCGGATCTCTGTGAGTTCGAGGCCAGCCTGGTCTACAAGAGCTAGTTCCCGAACAGGCTCCAAAGTTCCCTGTCTCAAAAAACTAACTACTAACTAACTAACTAACTAAATACTTGTGCTGGAGAGATGGCTCAGGGCAGCACTGGCTGTTCTTCCAGAGGACCCAAGTTCAATTCCCAGCACCCACATAACAGATCATAACCATCTGTAATTCCAGTTGCAAGGGATCAGTTTTCTCTTCTGGCCTCCATGGCACCAGTCACATATGTGATGCACAGATACACATACAGGCAAAGAACTCCTACACATAAAAATAATTCAGTTGGGCGTGGTGGTGCCCGCCTTCAATCCCAACACTGGGGGGGGGGGCAGAGACAGGTGGATCTCTGTGGGTTCTAGGTCAATCTGGTCTAAAGTGAGTTCCAGGACAGGCAGGATGAATCCTGTCTCAACTCCTTCTCCCGCCATTTTATATATGATTTATTATCATTAAACATTTTGTTTGTATACCTACTTTATACATCTATATACCTTAGTCACACAAAGCTTATTGGGAGGAAAGGGCTCACGAGTGGAATGTAGGAGTCCTGATCTAGGGTAGACTGTGAGAAGCCACAGCAGAGGCAGAAGTATCTAGAAAATGAGAGATGACAGAGAAGCTGAGACTGCAGTAGAGAGGCTGTGAGGAGCCAAAGGCAGCAGGTGAGACTTAGGAAATGTAAACCCTGGCTGACGGACAGCCTCAGAGTTGCCAGTCTAAATCCTGGGCGTTGGCCTCTAGCTGACACCCCAGAGAGTCTCAGTAACCCAGCTTATGAACCTCTGGAACTGGGAACTGCCAACCCTGAGGGAGACGCCCTTTCGCCCTGCTGACTTCTACCCTGAACAGGTCTCCAGCTAGCCGCCATTTCTGACAGAGATCTCACGTAAAGCAGTTTCACACAGCCTGGTGTTGTCCAAACAGCCAGCTGCTGGCTGATCTACAGCAGACAGGAACGGTCTCCTGAACCCTATGTAGTCCAAAGATGGCCCCTTTTCCTGCCTTCCCCACAGGAAACAAAAGAGGTACCCTCTTTTGTTTGACTCTAGGACTGTACTGTTTTCTAAAGATGTTTGTGTTACTGGGCCATTCTCATGACAGAGACAATAGTATATCAAACCCAGTGACTTTGTTTCATTCTTTATACCTTCATAGTAATGATGTCTGTCTCATCCACTGAAAGGCACAGAAACAGTAACCTCAGTCCAGGAAGCCCCGCCACATGGTGACATCCAGTGGCTGTCCACGGCACTCAAATTGCTTTGTACAAAATCCAGCGTGTTTAGTCTGTGCAAGGTGGAGAGATCAAAGGGGAAGGTACACAGTAGGGGCAGTGAAGCGCAGGCCAGGCCCGGGTATTTCCTGTGTCAGTGAAGTTGGTGCACCAAATCTTCACTGAGCATAGTAGATTTCAGCAAGGGATGAAGGCAAGAGCAGGGGTACTTTGCCATATATTCATAAAACTAGAGAAGAGTGGCACATGCCTTTAATCCCAGCACTCGGGAGGCAGAGGCAGGCGGATCTCTGTGAGTTCGAGACCAGCCTGGTCTACAAGAGCTAGTTCCAGGACAGACTCCAAAGCTACAGAGAAACCCTGTCTCGAAAAAACCAAAAAAGACTAGAGAAGATGCTGAATGATATAACAAACTGTCCCCAAAGTATACCTACATCCCCAAAAAAATCCAATCATAGAAAACTGCCTCTGCATCTTGCATGCTGGGATGATAGAACAAGTCACCACTCCAGCTTGCTTATAATCTTCATTTAAGTGTATATTTTGGTTGGATAGATATATATCTGTGGATGTCAGTGGAGGGTGTCAGACCCTCTAGAACTGGAATTAGGATGGTTGTGAGCCACCATGCGGGTGCTGGGAGCTAAACCTGGGTCCTTTGAAGAACAGCAAGCACTCTAAAATGCTGTGCCATCTCTCCAGTCTCTTTTTGCTTTGTTTTGTTGAGACAGGGTCTTACTTTGTGGCTTAGGCTGGCCTCCAACTCACAGTAATCCTCCTGTCTCAGCCTCCTGAGTCCTGGGATTATAGGCATGGGCCACCACACCTGGTTTTCCAGGGTAGTATTAAAACAACAAATTAACAACAGAAGCAAACGCTTGAACAGTCAACTCTGCAGAAGAAATAGACAACTAAACATGCTCACACACAGACTGAAAAACAGGCATTTTCAGCAGAGATGGTTGGAAATTATATTTTGCATGTTAGGCATAATTGTAAGGTGAATTACTAAATGTTGAATACAATAAAACAGTAAAAACCACCATTGGAATTGGAATTGGCAAAACAAACAGCTCATTTTGAAAGTACATACTAATTCTCTTGCCAAATTACTTGCAATTTTCCAGAAAATTTTTGTCTTCCTTCAGGGTGGATGAAAATTCACAATTCAGCTCAATGTCACCATCTAGTGGTGAAATGGATTTCCAGCACATTCCCCCTCAAACTGCTGACGTTAGAGAAGGTCAGGAGACCCGAGACCCTAACAATGGAAACGAACGAACAGTGGAAAGTTGAAATGTAAATTTAAAGCTTTATTGAATAAAAAAGTTTTAGGCTAAAGACTATAAGGAAGCATTATCTAACATCTCCACAAATGCCCAAAGGCCTCTACCTTAAAAACACCCCCCATACATGATTCGTGCTATCAGCCACATTTAACAAATGTACCCTGTACTCACTCAGAATGTTCTAAAGCCAGAGAAAACTACCTGGGCTGGTTTTTGCCAACTTGAGAAACAGAATGAATGGTCTGGGAATCTCAGTCTGTGGGTTCTGTTGTTGTGAGCAGAGTCACCCCGGGGCAGGAGGCCCTGGTTGTACACAAAAGCAAGCTGAGTAAGACGTGGAAACTGAACCAGTGAGCAGCGTTCCTGCCTCCAGATTCCTGCCCGGCTTCCCCTGAGGACCACAGACTACGACCTGCATGAGGAAATAAACTTCCTCCTGTCAGTGGCTTTCAGCCCTGTCTTCTAGCACACCAGAGACTCAAGCTAGGCCACCATCCAAGAAGAAGTACCTAAAACTGATTTAATCTAACCCTGGAAATATTATCTGCTATAAAAATCAATGCCTCGGAGCTGATAGGCATTAGGAGGTCTGAGCTCAGGCTGTCCCTCCTGTTATCTCTCCTGGAGTCCTCTTCATTGTGTTCTACAGGGAGCATGGTGAACACTAATCCAAAGGTATTATAAAAACATTTCAGCTGGCCGGGCAGTGGTGGCGCACGCCTTTAATCCCAGGCAGAGGCAGGCGGATCTCTGTGAGTTCGAGACCAGCCTGGTCTACAAGAGCTAGTTCCAGGACAGGCTCCAAAACCACAGAGAAACCCTGTCTCGAAAAAACAAAACAAAACAAAAAACAAAACAAAACATTTCAGCTTTCAGTAAAGTGTAAGAAGCCACCAAAAAGAGGAGGCAATCACCTAGAGATCAGACAAACACATTGGCAAATGCTACAGTCTGGGTACAGCTGGGTCTCTCCAAGCACTAAAGCATATAGGCTGGTCTTTGTCTCTAAATTATTTAGGAAGGGTGGCTTATCTTTTTTGATTGTTTATTATTTTTGATGGGCGTGTGTGCCACAGGGCACATTTGTCAGATGATAACTTTGTGGTGCCTGCTCGCTCACCTTTACGTGGGTGCTGTGGATGGAACTCAGGTGGCCAGGTTTGTGTAGCAAGCACCTTTAGTCAGTGAGCCATCTCACTGGGCCACAGGTGGCTGTATAATACCTCAGTAATCAAAAATGCAGAGAGCAGGATGCAAAGCGATAGTTTCCCATATCTACCAGAGGGAGGAAATGCATAAAAAAATTTTGAAAGACTAAATACTTGATTTAACATTGAGTACTAAAAAAGGAAATTGGTAAAAATATCTACACTTGCCCTTTATACTAAAGTGCTTCTGGTCATGATATGTAGGCACCTAAATCTGTTCTGTTTGTTTCCAATTCCACAATGGTTTTATTTGTAGTGTGAAAATGTGTCCCTGTCTAGACATTTTAATATTGACTTTTGGGAATGCAGTGGGCGCTGGCTGCATTACCCAGAGAATCCCTGCTTAGCCCTTATGCATTCTTCGCTGCTAAAAATGGAGTTTCTTTCTTTTCTTTCTCTCTCTTGTTCCTCCTTTTCTTCCTTTTTGAGTTTTTGAGATGGGTTTTCTCTGTGCAGCTCTGGTTGTTCTAGAACTTCTTTGTAGATCAGGCTGGCTTCGAACTCAGAGATCTGCTGCCTTGCCTTCTGAGTGCTGTGATTAAAGGTGTCTACCACCATACCAGGCTTAAAATGGAGTTTCAATAATGCACTTAGAATGGATTCTCTTTGCTTGTTTTCTGTTTTGGTAGCAGGAATTTCTTTCCCAAGTGGCTCCCACATAGATGCCAGTTGGCGCCAAGCTGCCTGTCTCTGCGCACCACTTGATAAAGGGAAGTGAGACTAGCATTGTGGGAGTTTTAGGCCAGCACCACGGCATTCTGTTATTCTTCATCCTCATCCTCGTCGTAGTACCGATTTCTCTTTATCTGTTCCTCCACAGACAGCTCTCTGACCACTTCCCCCTCCCAGAACCCAACATCTTGAGATTTTTGATTCTGGGTAGTGAATTCTTTAGTAGGAGTGGTGTCCACAAAGCGGGACCAACTCGGAGACTCGGGTTCTAGTGGTGATTGCTGCGTGAGGTCATTGCTATCATCATCTATGTTTGCTCCGTTTTCTATGAAATTCTCACTCTCCAGCTCAACACCATGAATGTCCTTACTCCTCACCGCTTCCTCCCTGGCGGAATCCCTGCTCTGGCGGCGTGCCTTGTCCACATTTCCATTCTGCCCAGGGCCTTCGGCACTTTCCATGCGTTTCCTTTCTGTTACTAACCCTCCTCCAAACTCCTCATTCTGCTCTGACATGCTCCAGCTTTTCCCGAGAGGAGACGTCTTGGGGCTCTTGACTGAAGAGGTTCGGAAAGAGGCTGCTACAGTGAATGGCCGGCTCCGCTCCTTCAGCGAGGAAGAGCGCCTCAGCTTCTTCAGGTCCAGGTCTACGTCCTCGGGAGCCTCCGCCTTGCCAGTTTCCTCCTCAGGAGGCCACTTGGGCTTAGAGACTTTGAATCCTTCCTCGATGGTACTTCCTGAACTGCCAAGCTCAGCTGGGGGTGGCCAGGCGATCTTCAGTTTCTTGGTCTCAGCTGGCTTATCTTCCTTCTCCCTCTGAAAGGAAGCCTTGGCTTCCATACTTGCAGCTAGGACACCCACCTTAGCGATGGGGGCATCTTCTACCCCGGGGCTATGGGGGGTCTCCCCTGCATTTGGAGGCTGGGCTGGTCTCTCTGTGGTTTCTTCATTTTCACTTTTGCTTGCCCAAAGAGCCTTATGCGGTCTGTGCCCAAAGCCTTCGTCATAATTGCCTTTAGACTTGAAGAGCTGGTTGAAGTGAGGCTTGCAGTAGATTCTTCCATGTAAGGAGGCATATGTCCCTAGACTGTCATCAAAAGAGAAGACATAAAGTCAGTGAGTCTGATTTATATCAGCAGGCTTCAACCTAAGACGGGAGAAAGTCTCCTGTCCTGCTGTGGGGGTAGGTGCTGGGAACATATAGGTAAACACTGTATTAACTGAGCTCTATCTCTGGTCCCAGGAAAATATCTTTAAAAGCACATAAATGCCCTATCATAATAACTTAATAACATATCGTAAATACCTTACTCTCTCTCCCCTTCAGGTTAGCCTTAAACTCAAGAGATCCGCCTGCCTCTGCCCCCAACCCACGGGATTGGGATTAAAGATGCATGCCACCAATGCCCAGGATACCTTATCTTCTTTTAAGAGCTTTTCTTTTCTTTCTTTCTTTCTTTCTTTTTCTGGGGAGGGCCTGAGCGCGTGGTGCGCGACCCAGGCTGGCCTTGAACTTGAAATCCTTCTGATTCTGGTGAGGCACTGTCTGTTTTTATCTTTACACAAGACAAGATGATCGATCACTCCCTCGGTCAAACCTTCACTGGTTTCTCTCCTTACCAATATGCAATTCCTCATTTCCAAATGATTTCATTCTCTATCAAAATGTTTAACAATTACTTCTCTGTGAGTCTTCCCTAGGTAATCCCACTTGGCTCTGATCAGCCATACATTACAGTATTTATAACCTGTAACTCCTATCTTTTTCGTCCTAGTTTCTAATTTTGCTAACCTTAAAAGCACAACTCTGTAAGGATGGATACAATGTGCTGAAAAACTTAGCACTTAGTGTCTAATCCTGACTGGCAAGTCATGGCCTATAGGAGAAGGAGCCAGGAGATGGATATGCCTTACCCATTTTAATTTTTTTTTGTTTGTTTTTTGTTTTGTTTTTCAAGACAGGGTTTCTCTATGTAGCTTTGAAGTCTGTTCTGGAACTCTGTAGATCAGGCTGGTCTTGACTTGAACTCACAGAGATCCGCCTCTCTCTGCCTCCTGAGTGCTGGGATAAAAGGCCTGTGCCACCACTGCCCAGCCTTAACTTTTTTTTTTTTTTTTAAGATAGACTCTCACAGCCAGGTGGTAGTGAAGCATGCCTTTAATCCCATGGCTTGGGAGTCAGGGACAGGCAGATTTCTGTGAGTTGGAGACCAGCCTGGTCACAGAGCAAGTTCCAGAACAGGCTTCAAAACTACAGAGAAACCTTGAAAACCAAAACAGCTAGAATCTCTCTATGTAGACCAGGCTAGACTTGAAGCCACAGAGTTCCACCTGCCTCTGTTCTCGAGTGCTGGAACTAAAGGTGCGCCACCATGCTCAGCCCACTGTAATGGCTTTTAAAGGATCATAACAGGGGTTGGAGTGATGGCTGAAGAGGTTAAGCACTGGCTGTTCTTCCAGAGGACCCAGCACCCACATGATAGGTTGCAACCATCTGTAACTCTAGTTCCAGGGGATCTGATGCCCTGTCTAACCTATGCAGACACTAGGCATTCATGTGGTGCAGACATACCTGCAGGTAAAACACTCATATGTATATAAAAAAAAATTAAAGGGTGATAGCAATGACAGCATTCCCCCAAAAGAGATACATGTTTTGTTGAAAAAAAATTAATTCAAAGATGGTCAGTGGTAGAGTACACCTTTAAGCCAGCACTCAGGAGGCAGAAGCACATGGATCTCTGAGTTTGAGGCAAGTCTGGTCTACAGAGTGAGCTTCAGGACAGCCAAACCTATACAGAGAAACCCTGTCTTGAAAAACCAATAAACAAAAAAAAAAAAGAAAAGAAAAAAAGAAAAACCAATAAACAAATAAATAAATTTTAAAAATTAATTCAATGGGCAGAGAAAGAACTAGAGTGGAGATCCCAGAGGCAGATCTTGATGCAGTGTAAGGAGCATTATCTAGATAGAGCTACCACTCTGGCTCTAGCTGCGGTGAGCTACAAAACCCCATAGGTGGGGCTGGAGAGATAGTTCAGAGGTTAAGAGCACTGGCTCCTCTTCCAGAGGACTTGAATTCTATTCCCAGCAACCATATGGTGGCTCACAACCATCTAAAATGAGACCTAATGCCTCTTCTGGCCTGTAGGTGTACATGCAGGCAGAACACTATATACACAATAAATAAATCTTAAAACAAACGTAAGAACCCTTGTAGATGCCAGAACATCTTTCAAAAGTGTTCTAGGATACTTGTTTGGGAAGGAAAGATGGAGAAACAACATTTTGGATATTTCCTTTCTGAAACTATGCAATTTAAAATTAAGTAATGTGCTGGGCGGTGGTGGTGCTCGCCTTTAATCCCAGCACTCAGGAGGCAGAGGCAGGTGGATTGCACGAGCTACAGAGAAACTGTGTTTCGAAAAACCAAAAAACAAAAAAAGTAATATGAAATATTTCTCCATATTGACAGTTTTGCTTTAGGGCCCTTCCCCTACTTTCTCCACTGTGAGGATTGAACTCAGGAGCTTACCACTGGGCTATACCCTCGGCCTTCTTTTTCACTCTTTGAGACATGGTTTCACTAAGTTGTCCAGGCAGGCCATGAGCTTGAGGCCTTCCTGCCTCAATGTCCCACGGTAGCTGGGATTCCAAGCCCATGCCATGCCTTAGGATTTAAGGTTATGGTTCAAAGGCACCACAGGAAAACACTACTAAATCTAGTCATGGGTGAGGGGTTTTATTAGCAGTTCATAGTATTTTAGGCTTCAGTTCTCACACATCAATGCATCAAGGAGTCCTCAACATCATCATCATTCTGTGTGACGGAGCTGTCCCTCTCCTGGGAGCCTCAGGACCAACAGTGTGTGCTACAAGCCAGAGTCCCCGCGAGCTCTCACTATGCAGAGAGGCCTGTTCGGGACTGACTTACCTAAGTTTGTTGTTGCAATAGGAGCAGCGGAAACAGCTGATGTGAAACACCTGCTGGTTGGCCAGGAGACGCTCCATGGGGTACACGGTCTTCTGACACCCCACACAGGTCTCTCTTGCAGGTGCCTGAAACTTCTAGAGAAGGGAACGGACAACGTCAGCGTCCACAGTGATGACCGGGCAGATGCTGAGACGGGCAGAGGGGGTTTAGTTTATCTCTGGGTCATTTTCACAGGCACTACACCTGCTCAGCTTCTACAGCTGACTTGTTAGAACTGGGAGGCTCTCTTGAATTTCTGTACCAAATTGTGAGGCTGCTCTGAGTATAGAAGCCTTCGAGGTCAGGTGGGTTTGGACTGTGATGCAGAGCAAGGGGTAGACAAGTTAACACACACAGACACACGCGCGCACACACACACACTCCTATAGGGAACATTAAGGATGGAGAGCTGTAGTTAGAAGGGCAGGGAGTAAGAGAAAGTAAAATCACAGCACAGAAGAAAGAAATTCAATCCATGTGGCAAGTAAAAGGAGCCGATTACAGCAGCCTTGGGGTGTGGGGTGTCGGGTGTTCAAGCAAAACAAAAGCATTAAGCTTAGGGAATCGGGTAAAGGCATTTCAATTTCTTTGGAACATCTTTTATTACTCTCTACAGGTTTTTTTTTTTAATTTTTTTTCTCTCTACAGGTTTTATTCTAGTTTTTTTTTTTTTTTAGACAGATTTATATATTACCCAAGTGGTTCTCAAACTCATTATTTCCAGGTATGACTTTTATCTTCCTACCTCTACTTCCCAAGTGCCAAGATTATATGTATAAGGCATTACATCTAAATGTGGCATATTTAAAAAACATTTTTACACTTACTATTACTTTATTTTTATCAATGTATATGTACAACTCTGGGGAGTTTGATCTCTCCTGCCATATGGGTTCTGGGGATTGAGCTCAGGTCCTTAGGGTTGGCATTAAGCATTTTTTACCTGCTAAGTCATCTTGCCAGCCTCAAGTTAGGCATATTTTGAAACAAGCCTAAAGTGACATACAAATGCAATAATTTGTAAGAGAAACAAACCACAGCACCTGGATTCCAGAAGGAAGCATAGCCTACTAAACTGCCTATAACTCGCCCGAAAACTAGCAGAGACTAAAGCAATGCCCTGGGCAATGCTATATAGTTAATGACGACAAGTCTGTGAGCTGCTTACAAACTGTGGGATAAGAGCTGCCATGCAGCTCAACACAATAATTCAGTTTCTAAAAATAGAAGAGCTGGGGGCTGGCAGATCTGGGCTCATAGCTCAACACAGAATCAAACTGGGCATGGCTGTACATGTCTGTAATCCCAGCACTTGAGTGAGAGGTGGGAGCAGAAGGATCATAAATTCAAGGCCATCCTTGGCTACCCATCAAGTCTGAGCAAGCCTACACTTCCTGAGACCCTAAACCCCTCCCCCAGTTTGCTATTGTAGCCTTGATAAAAGCCAGAATTCTAAAACAGATTATGAGCATTTACATGATAAACAGTCTAACCTGGCCACTGAAGGTGGCAGAGCTTGCTGTCCCTGACCTGACAAACATCTCAGGCAATAGAGGAAGAATGCAATTTAGGTGGCCAGGCAACTCTCACAGGTTCCTAGGTGTCCCCTGTGGGGCTTAGATGAACTTGGCTTCTCAGCAGAAAACATAAGATGGTAAATAGTGCAAATTAATCCCTAGGCCCAGAACCAGAATTTAGTTAAGCCCCAAAGGACCAGGTTATAGACAGAAAAGACTTAATAATTCTGAAGATAGACCCACAAAAACAAACAAACAAAAAATATCATGCCAATTGCATATTTGCTACAGGAACAAAATAAAAAAGTGGGGATTGTTTTCCAAGTAGGCTTGGTAGAAAATGGAGGCAGAAACAAATATAAAATGAAAGTGAAGATCTATAAAACTAAGCTTAATAAAATGACTGGCAAATCCAAAGGATTTAAGAATAAAAGAGCTAGCCAGGCGGTGGTGGTGCACGCCTTTAATCCCAGCACTTGGGAGGCAGAGGCAGGCGGATCTCTGAGTTCAAAGCCAGCCTGGTCTACAGAGCTAGTTCCAAAACAGGCTCCAGGGGGCTGGAGAGATGGCTCAGCGGTTAAGAGCACTGACTGCTCTTCCAGAGGACCCGGGTTCGATTCCCAGCACCCACATGGCAGCTCACAACTGTCTGAAAATGCAGTTCCATGAGATCTGACACCTTCACACCAACGAACATAATAAAGTTAAATAAATAAAAAGTTTAAAAAAAAAAAAAAAAAAACAGGCTCCAAAGTACACAGAGAAACCCTGTCTTGAAGCTGCCTCCCTCCAAAAAGAACAAGTGCAAAATGGAGTGGAAGTGACAAGAGCAATCCCTTTATCTGGAAGGGCAGAGCCCTAAAGAGAAAAACATTAACCAACCGAAGGCTGCAGGTTAACTTAGTCTACCAGTCATAGAAAGTTCCTAAAGGTGACCCAAGTTACTGTGGTGAGGGCTGTTGGCAGCCACTAAGGCATTATTTGAAGAACAGACTTTCTTTCTTTCTTTCTTTCTTTTTCTTTTCTTTTCTTTCAGACAGGATTCCTCTGTGTAACAGCTCTAGCTGACCTGGAACTAACTAGCTGTTGTAAACCAGGCTGGCCTTGAACTCACAGAGATCCGCCTGCCTCTGCCTCCCAAGTGCTGGGATTAAAGGTGTGAGCCACCACAGTTGGGCTCTTTTATAGACATTCTAATAGGATTAGATTTAGAGGGAGATATTGTTGCCTCATTTTAATAAGGTGTTCTTTACAAGGACTGGGTATTTTCTTGCTCAGTTAGCAGGACCTAGATTAAAATGCAGAATAAACTTTGAGAATAATGCTACCATTGGAGCTACTAAAGAGAATCTGTCCAAATTGAGTAAGTGATAGGATAAATGTGCTTATCAGAGTGAGAATCTTTCTCAGCTGCAAAGAGTGGATTCTGTATTTTCAACAGTTGAAATAGATTCGGGAGAACAACAGTAAAGGATACAGAGCATGCTTAGACACACACACACACACACACACACACACACACACACACACACACAGAAAGAACACACCAAGGAAGGATGCAGCCCAGGGTACAGAAAGGAGAACCTGAGAGACAGTGAAGGTTTTGCTCACATTAGGAGGAAAGTGAAGGCAGGAGCAGAGATTAGGTGCCAGGAGCAGGACGCAGAAGCTGGAAGAGACGAATAGGAACCTTTAATGAATACACAGCATTTGGTGTGCCCTGGAGCATTCGAGTGCAACCGAGCTGAAACTCAGACTCGGATCCAAGAATAAGACCACATTCTCTTTCAAGTAACTCTGTTCCGGGAGGTAGAACCCAGCCCTCTCAGATCTACCTGGAACACATTCAGCCTCGAGAGAAAGAGAGCTTTTATGAACCTTCACCCACACAAAGGAGTTGTCTGGTTAATAATTCTTCAGCCTTCTATCGCCTCCCACCTACCCACACCTGCTGTCTTCACTGAGCCTCCCACATACACTGGAAAGTCATCTCCTCCTTGACATCAGCTTGACAGCCTGCTGCCTTAGTCAACAGCCTGACCGCGATTCTAGCTGGCCAGCCCACCAGGTTCCCGTGACTTCTATTCATGTCTCACCCACCGTCTTCTCTTGCTACGGGCGTGTGCAGCAGCAGCTGCCCAAGGGACCTTCTACTGTCATAAAACAACAGAAGAGGCTCCCAGTCACAGTGGCTGTGCTGGGCCTTCCCTTTAATTGTCCATCCTGGGCTCTCAGCCACTTTTCTGAAATTTCCCCATGTCTACTCAGGCAACAGGAAGCACAGTCAGCGCGAAAACTCCCCATTATCGGAGGCCTGGCATGCATCCTGCCCATGTCTCCATGGTAGGTTCAGACTCGGCACAGCGTGCTCAGAACTCTGCCAACATGAGAACGTTAGATGTGTTTTATCTTTACAATATATTTTCTCATTGCGTAAGTAAAGACTTTTTTTTTCCTTTCTGTTCCTCCACCCCCTTTCTCACACATAGATACTGAAGCATGAGGGGCATCAGAAGCCTGACCAAGGTTACACACACAGTCAGGAACTCCCAAGTCAGACCAACATTGTTTTCTACACCGTGCAGGGAGGTTGTTCAGTTCCCGTAACTAAAGGCAACTCTTTGGAAAGAGAGAGCAGATGTTAGTCCTCACACATGCATCAAGCTTTAGTCCTCACTTGATTTCAAATTAAAACATGTAGATACTATCTTCACGACATTCTGAAATGAATGGGGTAACATAGAAATAATCTATATTAATCAACATATGAGGAATATTACAGACCTTCTTTTGATGGGCATCTATCTATGTAAGGCTATTTTCCAATGAATCTACATGGCTTCATCTATATTCTTTCAGCATTTTGTCTTACACATATTTTTCAGTCTAATGAAGGCCCCATTGGTGGAGTATCTGTGAATGAGGAGAAAGGGAAGCAGCTGGCCATGGGCAGTGAAACCACGCCTTTAGACATGATGAAATCGGAGAAAAATTCTGCACTGATGCCCGACCTCCATTCATCAGATGGATACCACAAATGCCGTTCATTCCTTCCTTCCAGTTTTCGCAAAATAACTAGGTAATAAAACTGAAATTCTTTACCACGCAGTAAATGGCTGAGCCAGCTCAGTGTAGCCTGCAGCTTCTCTGAGCGGAATTCTCTGTGAACTCGTTCCCAGGACCATTCAGATCCCAGACAGGCTGCCTCTAATAAATAGACTATCTGCAGGAGGGCAGAGGTGAGGACGCGGGAAAAGCAGTGACAACATTCTCATGACCGTCAATCATAACTGTCATAGCTTTGTTAAAGGGCACAAAGCCAGGCTGGGGGAGGGCAGCTCAGTGGAAAGAGCTTGCTTATCATGCTTTGTGGCTTGACATCCCCAGCAGCACACGACAAAACCACTGAGCCTCTTATCTCTACCCACAGGGAACAGCTAGGCAGGTACTGAAAGGGACACCACATAGTGTGTCCTGCCAAGCAGTGTGTGGTGCTCTCTCTCCTTCCAGCTCTGCCAGCAGGGCCCTTTGAAGGAACCTGGGACTCAGCTGTCTTGGCACAATGAGGACAAGTTGGTGGTCCTCAGGATGGTCACATCCTCTTGCCTTTTCCTTCCTTCTGGGGTCTTGATCTCTCTCCCCAACCTGTCTGTCATTAGGAACTGAAAACCCCAGAAGCCAAGCATGATGGTAAATGCCTATAATCTTTGTACTCGGGAGGCAGACACAGGAGAATTATAAGACTTGAACTACAGTGAATTGAGGCCAGCCTGGGAAGAATAGTGAAACCCTGTCTCAAATGATCTTTGAGAAGTTGTTAAAAATCCCCAGAGTTGGGGCTGGAGAGGTGGCTCAGTGGGTAAGAGCACTGGTTGCTCTGGCAGAGGACTCAGGTTCAATTCCCAGCATCCGAACCGTGGCTCACAGCCACCTGTAACTGCTGTTCCAGGGGATCTGATACCTTCTTCTGACCTTCATAGGAACCAGGTACATACAACGCAAACATACATGCAGGCAAAATATTCATACAATAAAATAAATAGAGACATAAAAATTTAAAAAGTCCCAGAGTTTCTTGAAGTAGGCTAGACCTGACCTTTGTTCCAGCCCACAGGTTCTGATGTCAGTACACTATCTTCATTGAGAACAAGCTTGCAGCTTGAACTTCGTCAGCATTACGCATGCCTTGCAAAATGAGCTCTGTGGCCAGTGTTCAAAATCTACAACATTCTTGCTTTCCTCACGCTGGCATGAAAGGCGTCTGACTCTATATCACGCCTGAGAATTTTATTTTTATTTTATATGTATGAGTGTTTTGTCTACATGTATGTTATGTGCACTGCAACTGTGCTTGGTGCTCCAGGGCAGAGAGGTCACTGGATCCCCTGGAACTGGAGTTACTGATGCTTATGAGCTACCATGTGGTTGCTGGGAACTGAACTAAACTTTGAAATTATTTGAGTTCCCTGCCTAGGATGCCCTATTTTTCAGTAACAGGCACTAAGAACGGATCTCTTCCCCTGACTCAGGATGCGTGGTATTCAGAAATCTATTTTGAGTGAACAAATGTATTCTTAGCTGCATGTAATTTTCTAAAGTAGAGGCATAACTTCTGCTGCAAAGTCTAGGGCCACGAGACCAGTTACGCCAGCAGGCCTTTCTGTACAGTTACTAAAGCTTTTATCTTACCTGTAAACTGTAAGGGGACTTTGAACAAGAGAGAACAAACAGCTCGTAAATAAAGTGGAGATGAAATGAGGTCCCAGACCCGGCTCTGCACACCAGCACCTGAGCTCTGGACTACCGACAGACACAGGGACCTGGGTGACGCACTCTAGTCCTCACCCAAACTTCAAATTCTGAAGTGTGTGTAAAGGCAGGCTGTGAAAGCTATGACGACATGACCAGGGACAAAGGCGCCCATGGCTCCGAGGTAAGCACGAAGAGATCTGCCCCATGTATTTCCTCTCGGACCAACTCAGGAGACCTTGTGATGTGTCCTTTTACAGAGCACTCATGGTTCGGAGCCTGGAGGATCTCAATCTCGTGTTGGGTCAGCACAAGCAAGTCCTAAGTCATCTGGCCCAACAGGCCAAGGAAGGTAGCAGAACCGTGTTGAGAAATCAATCGTTCTCAGTACCAGATGTTTGTTCGTGGACCAACCAGGGCTCCGATTCTTCGGTTACACAGAATCCATAACCAGGTCAGTGAAGTCATTTAAGGGTCAGTCTCAATGCATAGTCCAGGCTAGCCCGGAATTTGCTATCCTCCTGCCTCAGCTTAAGCATGCACCACTATGCCTGGCTTCGCTACTCTTTTCTTTTTCATTTATTTTTAAGTGTGTGTGTGTGTGTGTGTGTGTGTGTGTGTGTGAGTGTGCATGCGCATTGTAACACACTAGGAAAACCCAGAGGACAGCTTGCAGGAGTTGGTTCTTTCTTTTCTTGTGGGCTCAAGCAGCTTGTCATGTGGATTATCTGCTGAGTCATTTCACTGATGGTGCTGGCAAATTGTATGTCAGTTTGACACTGGCTAGAGAGTCATCTGAGAGGTGGGAGCCTCAGCTGAGAAAACAGCTTCATAAGACTGGGCTGTAGGCAAAGCCTGGGAGACAGGGTTTCTCTGTGTAGTCTTGGAGCCTGACCTGGAACTTGCTCTGTAGACCAGGCTGTCTTCAAACTCACAGAGATCTGCCTGTCTCTGCCTTCCAGTTGCTGGGATTAAAGGCATGGGCCACCACCTCCTGGATGCATTTTCTTAATTACTGATTGATGGTGGAGGGCCCAGGCCATGTGGGTGGTGCCATCCCTGGGCTGGTGATCCTGGGCTCTAGGAGAAGGGCAAGCCTGTAAGCAACACTCCCTTCATGGCCTCTGCATCAGCTCCTGCCGCCAAGTTCCTGCCCTGCTTCCTTCAACAATGAACTACAATGCAGAAGTGTGAGTCAAGTAAACCCTTTCCTCCCCAGCTTGCTTTTGGAAATGGTGTTTTATCATAGCAATGGTAGGTTTTCTTCTTCTTCTTTGTTTGTTTGTTTACTTATTGTTTTTTTTAAGATTTATTTATTTATTATGTATACAACTTTCTGCCTCCATGTATACTCATACGCCAGAGGAGGGCGCCAGATCTCATTACAGATGGTAGTGAGCTACCATGTGGTTGCTGGGAATTGAACTCAGGACCTCTGGAAGAGCAGACAGTGCTCTTAACCACTGAGCCATCTCTCCAGCCCCCTACTTATTGTTTTTTTGAGACAGAGTTTCTCTGTGTAGCCCTAGCTGTCCTGGAACTCAACTCTGTAGACCAGGCTGGCCTCAAACTCACAAAGATCCACCTGTCTCTGCTTCCTGAATGCTGGGATTAAGGGCGTGCGCCACCACTGCCCGGCAGCACTGGTCTTCTTTACCACCTTCCCTGCCTGATTTTTTCTTGCAGAACTCGAGGATGGAATCCAGGTTCTTGCATATTAGGAAAGCACTCTACCATGAAGCTAGGGCCCAGCCCCTCTATCTGTCTTTACATTTAAAAAATTTATTATTGGGGCTGGAGAGATGGCTCAGTGGTTAAGAGCATTGCCTGCTCTTCCAAAGGTCCTGAGTTCAATTCCCAGCAACCACATGGTGGCTCACAACCATCTGTAAAGACGTCTGGCGCCCTCATCTGGCCTTCAGGCATACAGACAGAATATTGTATACATAATAAATAAATAAATAATTAAAAAAATTTATTATTATTTTTAAAGTTAATGTATATGTGTCTGTGAGTTTGGAAATGCATGTAGGTGCAGATGTCCAAGGAAGCCAGAGGTGTAGGATCTCCTTGGAAATGGAGTTAAGGGTGACTGTAATCTGTGTGCAATAGATGCTGGGACCAGACTCGGGTCCTCTGCTCCAGTGTTAAGTGCTCATTCCCATTTCTCTAGCCACCTCCCCCACCACTTTTTTAAAAATCGATTTTTGATTCAGAACCACAACCCAAATGTTGACATGTGGGCAGAGCTGTGGGAAGGAAGGCCATGTACGGCACTGGCTACCTTTCCAGCCTTCAGACCCTGGGAAGACGGAGCACCGAGAGCCGATCTCTGGACAGAGTCAAGCAGAATACAGGCACTGGTTCAACTCCTGAGACTCCGTTGGTGCCAGGCATGGTCTTGTGCGGTCTAGCTGGGGCACTCAGCTGCACTCTAGACTCTCGGTTCATTTTTTTATACTTGCTGGCTCCTTCCTTCCTTCCTTCCTTCCTTCCTTCCTTCCTTCCTTTTGGTTTTTTGAGACAGGGTTTCTCTGTAGCTTTGGAGCCTGTCCTGGAACTAGCTCTTGTAGACCAGGCTGGCCCCAAACTCAGAGATCTGTCTGCCTCTGCCTCCCGAATGCTAGGATTAGTCACTTCCCATCTTATTTCTTGGGACAAAGTCTCTAACCGAACCTTAAGCTTATCTATTTGGCTAGACTGGCTGGCCAGCAAATCTCAGATATTCTCCATCCCCCGTTTTGTTGTTATCTTGTTTGCCTTAAACTTATGGCAAATCTTGTCTCACCTCTGAACTCACAGCAACCCTGCTTCAGACTCCTGAATGCCAGGATTACAGCCGGAAGCCACCGTGACAAACTAACAGACTTGAATGGCCTGGAACTCAAGAGACATGCTCACCTGCTTTTTGAGAGATTAAAGGTGTGTGCTACCATAACTGGCTGAAAGTGATTCTGTGTGTGTGTGTGTGTGTGTGTGTGTCCCAGGAGGCCAGAAGAGGGTGGTGGACCATCTGGAATTGGAGTGAGTACTGGGAATTGAACCTGGGTCCCCTGGAAGAACAGTGGGTGTTTTTTACCCAGTGAGCTCTTTCTCCTGCCCCTGAAAATGACCCTTAGGCATACCTTTCCTGGCATCATATTGAGGACAGCCAAAACAGGTAATGCTGAACAGAGTGATAAAAACTGCAAAACATGGAACCAGAAATAAGAGTCTAGGACTCGACAAGCAAGCACTACCATACCTTCACCGTTTTGGAAGGAGAACTTTCCGGAAGACTGGAGGTTCTGGCATCAGGACTCAGTGGCTCGGGGTGCACAGGCTGCGGGGCCTCACTCTTCACCTGGGAGGCACCTGATAGAGTCAATGAAGGCAGGCATTTTAGAGTAGCTCGGAGCAAGGCTCTTTTGGGAAGAAAAGCATGGTTCCCACAGGAACCAGTCATCTTAGCCTCAGAAAAAAAACCTGCTTTCCTGTGGAAGAGGTTCTAAACTGAAATCGCCCTGGGCTCCCCCAGGAGTCAGGCTGCCAGCACACAGCTGGGACACAAACATTGTGTGACATTCTGCTCTGAGGCGACTGCCATTCCTTAAGGCTGTGTATAGATTTTGCTGGTTTTGGTAGTTGGCATACTCCCAATGATTTCTTCTGCGGCGCTTCAGCTGAAGCTGAAGAGGGTCTTGCTCTGGGTGGGGTAGAATTTGTTATGTAGACCAGGCTGGAGATTTACTATGCTTCTTCTGTCCAAGCGCCGGGACTGAAGGTGTGCCACTATGAACAGTTTGCTTTGGATTAGTTTTAAGCAGATGTCAATAATGAAAATACCACATAAAGGTTTTCTTTCTAATTATTTAAGCAACAGCAAATAAATTAAGTTCTTGCCAGTGTATGTATGTCCCAATGAAACTCGGAAGATATGGAAAAGCCATTCACACAGCTGGTAAAAGACCATTTAAACAAAATTCCTGAGTCTAAAATTGGGGCAGCAAGATGGCTCTGGAGGTGAAAGCCCTTACCACTAAGCCGGAGGCCCTGAGTTCAATCCCCGACACCCGTTAGTGAAGAAGAGCACAGACTCCCACAAGCTGGCCTGAGTCCTCATGAAAATAAATAAATAAAATATAATTTTGTGAGAGCTGTAGAGATGGCTAAGATGTTAAAAGCCCTGACTGTTCTTCTGGAGGTTCTGAGTTCAATCCCCAGCAACCGCATGGTGATTCAGAATCACCTGTAATGAGATCTGATACCCTTTTTTTTTTTTTTGGTTTTTCGAGACAGGGTTTCTCTGTGGTTTTGGAGCCTGTCCTGGAACTAGCTCTTGTAGACCAGGCTGGTCTCGAACTCACAGAGATCCGCCTGCCTCTGCCTCCCAAGTGCTGGGATTAAAGGCGTGCGCCACCACCGCCAGCTATCTGATACCCTTTTCTGACACACAGGCATACATGCAGACAGAACACTCTACACATAATAAATAAATCTTTAAAAAATGTTTTTAAAGAGCAAAGCAGCATAGCACTGAAAGGTAATGGTTTGTTTCTAGAGAAAAGAAAAAGAAGGAAGAAATGTATTGCAAACCTAATTTTAAAAGACCCTTTAGTTCAAGCAAACGAACATGAAGGTACACTTCTGATTTCAGGCTGAGTGCTTCTGGGCAATCGCAAGGGAGATTTATAGCCATCTGCTTGACTTGTGCTCTGACCTCCGTTTTGAGGGTTTCTGTGTCCAGATTTGTTGTGGGGGAAGCTAGAAATCTATACATATTTAAGAACAATTCACTGAGCTGGGTAAAGAGGCACAGCCTTTAATCCCCACTTGAAGGCAAAGGCAGGTGGATCTCTGTGAGTTCAAGGCCAGCCTGGTCTACATAGTGAATTCCAGGGCAGCCAGGGCTATGTAGAGAACCTCCACACACACAAAAAAGGAAAAACCAAAAATAACAAAACAACAGCACACTGAAAATCAGCAGTGGCCTCAGTATCACGAGCATTACGGCGTAATCTCACATGTCTAACTGCAGCATCCAGGAGGCACGGGCGGGGGAGCTCAGGAAGTTCTAGCCCAGTGGGTGTGAGACCAAGTTAGAAAAGTAAATAAATAAAGCAGAGATAGCAAATGGTTAGGGAAACCCTTTATATGTGTAGCTTTTATTGGTTAATGAATAAAGAAGTTGCTTTGGTCTGTGATAGGGCAGAGTAGAGCTAGGCAGGGAAACTAAACTGAATGCTGGGAGAAAGAAGGCAGAGTCAGAGGGAAGGCATGGAGTCACCAGAGAAGACAGACACTGTAAGCCACAGCCACGTGGTGATACCTAAGTCATTAGAAATGGGTTATTTTAAGATATAAGAACTAGTAAGAAAGATGCTTAAGCTATTGGCCAAACAGTACTGCAGTTGTTATAGTTTCTGTGCGATTATTTCGGCTCTGGGCAGCCGGAAACAAATGAGTAGCCTCTGCTTACAGTAAAGTAAAACCCAAATCTTTTATCTTTGAGGAACCAGGCTTACAATTACTTCAAAACTGTATAAAATTATGTCAAAACTTAGCACTTTGAGGAAAAAAATCCCTAAGCCTTTAAATGTTTCCCCATAATTAATACAGTTCTTCTTGAACACCTTCTACTAAAATAAGACTTCAAGATCAGTTTATATAGCTTCGGACTTGGAATAGTTCAGTGCAAAAGGTAGGATAAGTTCAATGAGAGAAATGTTGTTAAAAGTTATTCTTTTAGTAAGGGATGGGTAGATGGTTCAGAAGTTAAGAGCACTGGCTGCTCTTTCATAGGACCCAGGTTCAATTCCCAGCAACCACATGGTAACTCCTGTCTGTAACTCCAGTCCCAGGGGATCTGATGCCATTGTCTTAATAGGTACTACAGGCACATGGTACACAGACAACTCAGGCATGCATATATATATATATATATATATATATATATATATATATATATATATATATATAATAATGAATATACATATACATTAAATAAAAATAAATAAAAATCTCAAAAATTTATAGAAAAAAAAAGTTAGCCGGATGGTGGTGGTGCACACCTTTAATCCCAGCACTCAGGAGGCAAAGGCAGGTGGATCTCTATGAGTTCGAGGCCAGCCTGGTCTACGAGAGCTAGTTCCAGGACAGGCTCTGAAGCTACAGAGAAACCCTACCTTGAAAACAAACAAGCAAAACAATAACAAGAAATCTTTGTTCCATGTTACCATGTTACCCACATGTAACTCAACTTCTTCCTGAGCTATGAAAAGAGTGAAGGGTGTTCAAACAGCAGTCCCGAAAACCCAGTGGAAACTCGGATGAGCTTAGCTGCTGGTGTGATGTGGGGCATACCGCACCACTGTGTGCTGTGTCCCTAACCCACCGTGAAGGGCTAAGAGCAAATGCTTACAGGCATCATCTTCAGCAGGGCTACAATGGGCCACCAGGCTATTCTCAGTCGCAGAAACCTACAGGAAAAAAACAAAAAAGATTAAGGGGAATTAGGAAGCACATTAAAAACAAAAGAGCAGACCCGCTGCCAAGGCCATAAAAACCTGCTGACTCCAGTTAGTCACTGGCTGCCTGGGGGAAAATAACGGCCCCAGAACAGCTGAGCATTTAAACAAGAGGCAGCAAACGTCTTTTACGAGGATATTAACGTGCCTCTCAATTACAGAGGAACACTAGAACAGACTGCATTCAGCTGCCAAGTGTGCCTGTCTCCCTCATAAAGAACTTTCAAGCCGTATCTCAGGAAGCAAAAACCAAACAAAATCCCATGGCAAGGAGAGCGAACCCCTCATGTGCTGAGAATGATCCACAGCAAAGGCTAGGAGCATCTTTAAGTACAGGAGTTATTGTTACTCTTATTTTCCTGGTTTTGTTTCTGTGTTTTGGGTGGAGAGGTTGAGACTTGGGAGGTGAAGGGAAGAGGATCAGGAGTTAAAGACAATCCCCTTGCTATACTGTGAGTTTGATATACCTGGGTTACAGTATATCGTGTCTCAAAAAAATAAAAATAAGGATAAAAGTAAAAAATTAAAAAAGAAAGAAGGAAAGAAAGAAAGAAAAAAGGAGCAATAGTTGAAGAAGTTGGCTCTTCTGTTAAGAGCACTTGTTGCTCTTTTGAAGGATCCAGGTTCAATTCCCAGCACCCACGATCATCTAACTCTAGTTAGTCCCAGGGAATCCAACACCCTCTTTTGACCATTTCAGATGTTACATCCAGATTGTGGGGTCGCCCCAAAACACCGCAGAGTCACCCCCAAAACACCACAGAGTCTGCACTCATATGTAAAAGCAAAGAACCTTTATTCATGCTTGAGCTTAGACTTGTCTGAATCAGTGTTTAAGAGAAAGTACCAAACGCAGCTGGGCTAGAGGTTGAAGTGAGGGGATTTCCAGGGTTCAGGGCCCTGATTGGCTGACATTTGTCTAGGGATATTGGCAAAAGGGGAAATATGTGAGTCCAGGGCTTAGGGACAGCTTATCTAATGGCTGGAATGTCAGGTACTTCCCTTTAGACGCCAGCCCTCCCTGGATGGTGTCAGCTGAAGTCTTTTCCTGGAACCCAGTGCTGCCTCCTGCCATGGCAGCTGTGCCGCCTGGGCCCCACGTGTGGCCAGGCTGCCCTGGTCATCAGATACCAGGAAAAGCATAGTGCACAGACATACACACATGCAAAAAAACTCATACACATAAGAAAATAGTAATAATAGAAATATATATCTAAGAAAAAAATTAAAAACAAGCCAGGCGGTGGTGGCGCATGCCTTTAATCCCAGAACTCAGGAGGCAGAGGCAGACGGATCTCTGGGAGTTCGAGGCCAGCCTGGTCTACAAGAGCTAGTTCCAGGACGGGCACCAAAGCTACAGAGAAACCCTGTCTCGAAAAACCAAAATAAAAAAAAAAATAAAAACAAACAAACAAAAAACCCATACTGACACACCTGCGGGAAAACCCAAAAACCAACAGAAAAATTCAAAATGGCAGTTTGTTTTTTTTTAAAAAAACAAGAAGCAGATCTTTTTTATCTTTTTTTTTTTAAGATTTGTTTATTTATTTATTATGTATACAGTGTTGGTATCAGACCTCATTACAGATTGTGAACTGAACTCAGGACCTCTGGAAGAACAGTCAGTGCTCTTAATCTCTGAGCCATTCCTCCAGCCCAAGAAGCAGATCTTATGCATAGGTACTATATCCTTTCCTCAGAAGCCATCCTGGTGTACATATTCCATCTTTAAGATCATGATGCTGGTTTCAATGGGCGACACCAAGTGTCTCTATCCAGATGTCTGAAGAACCAAATACATTTACAGTGGAGACTAAGTTGTTGGCGGACCATACCTGAACGCTACACCAGCATTTTCCCCTACTCTATTTTCACTGCGGGAACTCGACCTTGGCAAAGAATAAACCAGAATAATCACAGTTGATATTTGCTGAGTGTTTAACACATGACAGGCATTGAACTGATTGCCTCAACATGCAGTATTTCACTTAATGATATGAAATAAATTTTTTGGCTGGGCGGTGGCAGCATACACCTTTAACTGTAGCTCTTGGGAGGCAGAGGCAGGTGGATCTCTGTGAGTTCAAAGCCAGTCTGTTCTACAGAGCAAGTTCCAGGACAGCTAGAGCTGTTACACAGAGAAACCCTGTCTTGAGAAAACAAAACCAAAACCAACCAACCAAACAAACAAAATTTTTTTTTGAAATTGCTTGGTCATAAAAAGATCTTCACTGCTGGCTGGTTGGCACATGCCTACAAGCTCAAGAAACAGAGGTAGGAGGGGCCAGTAATTCAGGGTCATCCTTGTCTATACAGTAAACTAGATGTTAGCCTATACTATATGAGACTCTGTCACCAAAACCCAAAACCAAAGACCTTCAACTCTAGTGAATTTGTAGGCGCATCCATCCTGGGCTGTTCTTCCCTAACCTTTAACCCAGTCCCCTTGAACACTTAATGTTGACGTCCTGTAATTGCACATGGAGGGACAGATATTGTTACTACAGGCACTTCCAGGCAGGAGCCCCAGAGACCACGCTCAGACATCTCATTATAGAAAAGGCAACGGCTTGACCAAGCATGGCATTTCAAGAAAGTTCGCGGAGAGACTGCACGGCAGTTAAGAGCACTGGCTGTCCCTGCAGAGGACCTGCGGCCAATTCCAACTCCCACATGGTGGCTCACAGCTGCCTGTCACTTTAGTTCCAGGCTGGCCAGTGCCCTCTTACATTCTCAAAGGTAAACAAAAATATGTGTGTGCTTGACTTTTTGCTTTGTTTTGTTTTTCTGACACAGGGTTTCTTTGTAGCTTTAGAGCCTGTCCCGGAACTAGCTCTTATAGACCAGGCTGGCCTCAAACTCAGAGAGATCAGCCTGCCTCTGCCTCCTTAGTGGTTGGATTAAAGAAGTGCGCTGCCACCACCACCCAGCTTGTTTGTTTTTTGTTTGTTTGTTTGTTTTGTTTTTTTGAAAGAACATTTCCTGTAGCATTAACATCTTTTTGTAGCAGACCAAAGTTCAAACAGAGAATTGGTACTGGTTAACTAAAGGCAGTCGGTCGGGCAGCCTGGAGGAGAGCCAGGCTCTAAAAAGCCTACACTGGGCAGGAAGAGCTTGCAGCGCATTTATTGTCTTTACCTCCTCCTTCCACCCACTCCCTGATTTATGATTCTCTTGCAACTCTGCTCTTTTGCACTGTAATTAAAATGTTCTGATCTTGCAGTTTGTTCCAGAGTTCTAATTTCAAATCTAATCAGCATGAAGACAATCAAGAATGAAGCACAAAACAGAATTAAGGACACCAAGAGCATCATTTTCCAGATGAGTGTTTCTTCAGTTATGATCTTGAGGTAAAGATGAGGAGATTCTCAGTGATGAGATTTTTTTTTATAGTTTATTTATAAACTATAAGGAAAATCCCAAGCATATTTGGGAAACAGCCTTCACTGGCTAGGCACGGTGACGTGCACCTTTAATTCCAGTACTTAAGAGGCAGAGACGGCGAGGTCTCTGTAAGTTTCAGGCCAGCCTGGTCTAAAGGGTAAGACCCTGTCTCTAAAAAAGGAAGAAAGAGCATGGTTGTAAGGATGTGTACAGTTTATTACTTTTTTAAAGATTAAAGTAAAATCTAAGTATGAGTTCTTTGCCTGCTGGTATGCATGTGCACCATGTGTACGCCTAGTATGCACGGATGCTCAGAAAAGGGTGGAAGATTCCCTGGAATTTTAGTTATAGACAATTGTGAGCTGCTATGTGGGTGATGGGAACTGAACCCGGATCTGCTCATTACTGCTAAGCCCAGTATAAAATTTACTTGATGAGTCTATGACAGGCAAGAATGCTGTCTACATAAATTTTTGTTTGCTGTCACTAAGCCATCCATCTTATCACAAATGTGATATTCTGGCACTCTTTCCATGGCCTCCCACTGATATCTGATTATATCTAAGCCCTTGAGGGTGGCCCAGAAGGCAGTTCCAGATCCTGCCACCTGTCTCTCACTACTCTCATTATTTACTACCACTACCTTGCCAAATCAATCAAATGGCACCTACCAAGCCAATCTCAGGTCTCTGCACTCTGCTGTGCCTGCATGTCTATTCTTTTCCTTTTGCAACCGTTCTCCACTCACGTGGCCATCCCTGCCTTTCCCAGCCACTCTCCACTCACGTGGCCATCCCTGCCATTCCCAGCCACTCTCCACTCACGTGGCCATCCCTGCCATTCCCAGCCACTCTCCACTCACGTGGCCATCCCTGCCATTCCCAGCCACTCTCCACTCACGTGGCCATCCCTGCCATTCCCAGCCACTCTCCACTCACGTGGCCATCCCTGCCATTCCCAACAGTTCTCCACTCACGTGGCCATCCCTGCCATTCCCAACAGTTCTCCACTCACCTGGCCCATCCCTGCCATTTCCAATCGTTCTCCACTCACGTGGCCCATCCCTGAACATTCCTCAACTGGGCTCAGCATCTTCCTGAAGAAATCAGGTTTTGAACTTCCACTCTCTCATGGTACCTACCGTAATAATAGCTAGCATGTTAGAAGGCAATAATCTGTTAGCTTTCTTGTACACGAAGGACACGTGGGAGAGAGACAGACAGAGGAGGAAGGAGGAAGGCTATGAATGAGAAGGAATGTGTGTGCTGTTTTTCTTTGTTTTCAAACAGAGTCTTGCTGGCCTCAAACTGTCTATGCACACCATACTGGCCTTAACCTCATGATCCCTCTTGCTTCTGCTTCCTGCATTGTTCTGCCGCTGTTGGTATTTGCTACTATGCCTGGCTCCGCCTTTAGTTTACTCCCCCTATTATATAAATTATTAGTTAATTATTAATGTGTGGGAGCGAGAACATGCCACAGCATACATGTGGAAATCAGAAGACAGTTTGCAAGAGTTGGTTCTCTCTGCCACGTTGAGTCCTAGAGACCGAGCTCAGAGCCTCAGCATTGCCCGCCAGCACCTTTTCCTGGTGAGCCACCCTGCTGGCCCAGTCTTCAGTTGTTGTTTTTTTTTTTTTTTAAGATTTATTTACCTATTATGTGTACAGTGTTCTGCCTGCTTGTATGCCTGCAGGCCAGAAGAAGGCACCAGATCTCATTACAGACGGTTGTGAGCCACCATGTGGTTGCTGGGAATTGAACTCAGGACCTTTGGAAGAGCAGCCAGTGCTCTTAACCACTGAGCCATCTCTCCAGCCCCTCAGTATTCAGTTTTTAAGCTAAGCACTTACTACATAGGATGCTAAAATCATGTGTATGAGGGCTCGGTGGTGGAACACGTGCCTAGTAAGTGCAAGGCATTGGGTTAGCCACTAGCATAACAAAATCTAAACCAAAACCATCTGAAGCACAAGTGATGTCATTCATGAGCCCACAGTCTCAGTTACTTAAGAGGCTGAGGTAGGAGGATTGCTTGTACAGGTTCAAGATGGGACTGAGACACAAAGTAAGACCTTCATCTCAAAACAAAATTAAGGTAAAACAAGCAACAAAAGAAAATCTTAAAATAGCATATCAAGTATATATTAAGACGAATATTGTAAATGATTTAAAGACAGGATCTCAGGGCTGGAGACGTGGCTCAGTGGTTTAGAGATTTTGCAGTTCTTGCAGAGGATCTGGGTTCAATCCCCAGCGCCCACATGATAGTTCACACTCTCTGTAACCTGAGCTCCAGGGGATCCTACACCCTCTTTTGACTGAGGGCGTAGTTACATGCACACTGCACATATACGCATTTGGGCAAAATATTTATACACACACGACAAAACCTTAAAAACTTTATAAAAAAATAAAAATTTTATCTCTGACCAAGCAGATTTATATAAATGACTCTAGCTTTATGCCTTCTGAGCATTTGCTGAACAAAAGAATTTCCCAATGAAGGCTCATGATTTGGTCAGCTGTAAATTACAAAGCTTCCTAAAATTTTGTGACCTGCAAAATGACAATCTGTCCTGGCAGCTGCCACCAAATTCCCAGACACTGCAGCCTGGAGCCAGAGTCCTTTCCAATTTTAAGCCCCTAATTTAGAACACATGCTTCCCTGGCAACTGGACATGGCCTTGCAACCTACCTTTTTTCCCTCCTGATGGGAGCTGCAGGCCTCGGGACCTGGGGGCACACTCTCCTTTTGCTCCAACGTAGTTTTGATCTCGCCGCCACTGGCTTTCAACTCACTCTACAAAACAGAAATAACCTGTGAACGCAAATGCTTTCCATACCGTTCTCTTCACCGCACATCTCTCAGGAACCCTGGAACACTTACAAAAATTCCTCTCATAGAACTCAGGTCAAATCAAGCGCCTGTCACAAGCCAAACCCATCGGCTGGTGAAATGACAAAAGCAGCTGTGTGGACTCAGCCCTCCTATCTCGCAGGGACTAGAGTTAGAACAGAGCCGCATCGATGGGCGCACACAGCCCGCCCACCAGCCCCCGGCATTCTGTGAGCCACACACAGCCCACCCACCAACCCCCGGCATTCTGTGAGCCACACACAGCCCACCCACCAGCCCCCGGCATTCTGTGAGCCACACACAGCCCACCCACCAACCCCCGGCATTCTGTGAGCCACACACAGCCCACCCACCAGCCCCCGGCATTCTGTGAGCCACACACAGCCCACCCACCAGCCCCCGGCATTCTGTGAGCCACACACAGCCCACCAGCCCCTGGCATTCTGTGAGCCACACACAGCCCACCAGCCCCGGGCATTCTGTGAGCCACACACAGCCCACCAGCCCCCGGCATTCTGTGAGCCACACACAGCCCACCAGCCCCGGCATTCTGTGAGCCACACTTTGACACGGGCACACACAGCCCGCCCACCAGCCCCCGGCATTCTGTGAGCCACTCTTCCAACAGCCCAGCTTGTGAAATGCAAAGCTTGTGAGTTTACACACCATTTGGGAGAAGGGAAAGGTGGTGCCAAGTGTCAACAATTAAGAAAATATACTGACCATACATATAAATGCCCGGCCTGGAAAGAAAGACAGGGATGATGGACACATATAAAAACCGAAATTATACTGAATGATACCATAAACAATCTTTTTCTATGAAACTTTCAAAAAAACAGTTTACATAAAATTTACAGATATACCTTAATCTGTATTTCTTAACTGAGCCTCAACATTAAAAGACACGTATTAGTAGTGCCATAAGGCCTAAGGAGAATAACCCTCTTTCTTCCTTGTAAAGGACACTAGGAGTAGAAAGTTAAAATATCTAAAGCCAACAGAGAGGGGTGAAGATGGCCGTTTCCTATCTTTCCTGGGCTTGCTTTCCTATTAACCCCCCCCCCCTTCTCCCCCTGCATCTCTCTCTCTGACAGGCTCCCATGTAGTCCATGCTGGCCTCAAACTGACCATATAGCCAAGGATAACCCTGAGCTTTTGATCCTCCTGCTCTACCTCTCAAGTGTCTGTGACCGTGCTCCATCTAACGTGGCGCTGTGGTGAAATGTCACCATACTCCTCTAACGTGGCGCTGTGGTGAAATGTCACCATACTCCTCTAACGTGGTGCTGTGGTGAAATGTCTGTCACCATACTCCTCTAACGTGGTGCTGTGGTGAAATGTCTGTCACCCGTACTCCATCTAACGTGGCGCTGTGGTGAAATGTCACCATACTCCTCTAACGTGGTGCTGTGGTGAAATGTCACCATACTCCTCTAACGTGGTGCTGTGGTGAAATGTCTGTCACCCATACTCCATCTAACGTGGCGCTGTGGTGAAATGTCTGTCACCCTAGTCCATCCAAAGTGGGCTGTGGTGAAACTCAAGACTGCTCACTAGGAAGCACCACCAGTTCAGACATATTCCCAGTCCCTCTCTGTGATTCTTCAGGGCTTGGGAGAAACAAAGCCATCTCAGGCCACAGGGCTAATGGAAGTGGGTGTGAAGAACAGGGTAAGGTCGGCGACTTCAAAGTAGCCAGTCTCGGCTCTGCAAATGCACCTATTAGGAGGAGATGGCCGCCAGCACTGCAGAACACACCATGACACCCACGAATTTATTGTCTGTCTGTCTCCAAGCTCCCCGTTACAATCGTGTTCTGTGAGGAATTTCAGACATTCTTTGAGGATGAGATAAAACATACTTTCCGCAAGAATTTCTAAAGACTTCTCAACTCTTGAAATCCCCAGAGCAGAACTTTAAGGAAGAAATTCTACTAGAAAAATTCATTTAGAGGCAGGATTTCTGTAGCCTGGCAGTCCCGGACCTGGCTTCAAACCTCAGCCACCCTGTGTTGCTGATATACCCCTTGAGGCTTTGTTTTTAAGGGGGAACAAAGGATGTAGTTCAATTGGTACAGCCCTGGGTTCTACCCCAGCACCAAATAAAACCATGTGTGGTGGCACTGTAATTCACCTCTTAGGAGTTGGAGGCAGGAGGACAGAATTCAAGATCAGCCTTGGCTACATGAGCAGTCTGAGGTCAGGCTGGGACACAGATTATTTCAAAATGAAGAGCAAAAAACCAGCAAGCAGGAGGCTGCTTTGTCGCGGCTGTGCCTACTCTTTCCAGTGTGCTAAAAACAAAAAAATGAGGTCGCTGAACAGGTTTTCCCACCCGAGGAGTCATCTGGGTGGAATGTTTGCACAGACAGACAGACAGACACCTCCAGTCACAGACAAGATGTAAGCTTTGCCCCTCACCCATCTCTGTGTCTCCCGAACTATGCTCAAAGGAGCATAGTTCTGCCCATTTTTCAGTCAGGGAACTCTGGGAGTTTCACTCTATTGAAATCTATACACATTGTCTCTTATTAATCTACTGCGAAAAACTGGAGTAAGGGATGAGGGTGTAGCTCAGTGGTCGAGCATGGTGTGGCATGTGTAAAAGCTATGATTTCAGGCCCCAGACCTGAAAAAAGAAGACAGGGAGGGAGGGAGAGAGGGAGGGATAAAGGAGGGAAGGAGGGAGGGGGAGGGAAGGAGGGGAGGGATAAAGGAAGGGAGTGAGGAGGAGAAGGAGGGAGGGGGAGGGAAGGAGGGGAGGGATAAAGGAAGGGAGGGAGGGGGAAAAGAGGGAAGGAGGGGAGGGATAAGGGAAGGGAGAGAGGAGGGGAGGAAGGGAGAGAGGAGGGGAGGAAGGGAGGGAGGAGGGAAGGAAGGAAGGAAGGAAGGAAGGAAGGAAGGAAGGGTGTCTCAGAGAATGGGTCCATTAGTACTGGGGAATGCACAATTATGGGGGAAAGGCCTAACTTCTGGAATACACATTATGATCTTGAGCCTGCACAGTTTCGATCTGTCCAGGAACAAATAAAGCAACATTATTCTCCCAACATTGCTAAGAACTTTGGCCATGAATAGTCACAGAAGGAACAAACTTCCGCATCCTCTAAAAGTGAGAAGCTGGGCTAGGATGCCCCTCCGTGGTACCGGACATCTCCAGCACACTTGCGGTCCTGTGTTGTTTCCCGCACTACGGTAAACGGACAAGTGAGCAGATCTGATGATGACATAAGGCAGGTGTGATGACATCCTGTGCTCCTGTCTCCTGAGTCCCACTCTGTGACTCTAAGGCTAGGTTACAGAGCAAAATCCTGTCTCAGGCTGGGTGTGGTGGCACTCAGGAGGCAGAGGCAGGCGGATCTCTGTGAGTTCTAGGTCAGCCTGGTCTACAAGAGCTAGTTCCAGGACAGGCTCTAAAACCACAGAGAAACCCTGTCTCGAAAAACCAAAACCAAAACCAAAAAAACATAAGGCGATTTTTATGTTATGTGAGCAATATTTCAATGGAAAACTTAATGCTCAATGCACTTGCACCCACCACAAAACCAAAAAGAAACTCACAATAGATATCCCTATTAAGGCTAATAAAATACTGATCATCAGTGACAATGAAAAAGTTGAGTAGACAAGCCAGGAAAAGTCTTGCTATCACTGCTGGTAACATAGAATATAAAGGAGATATGACTATGCATGCATGAGCTGGGGACGCAAAATCAGGACTGGAAAACGTATGCTTACAAAGGCAGGAGGGATATAGGACTTATGAAAAAGGACTGGCCAGGGTCAGAGGTCAGGGCCCAGGAGACAATTCCTAGACAGTGCTCAAGATGGCTGTCCCGAGCAAGTAAGAATGGTGCAGGCACGCCTTTAATCCCAGCACTCAGGTGGCAGAGGTAGGCGGATCTCTGTGAGCTCGAGGCCAACCTGGTCTGCACAGAGCTAGTTCCAGGACAGATAAGGCTATAGGGCAAAACCAACAAAACCAAAAACCACCCAACCAAAACGCAAACCGAGCAGGACACATACCCCGGCTGGGCGGCTCTGCTTGGACACGGCGGCCTGGTACTTAGCCATGCGGTCTTTGATGGAGGTCTCCGAGAGGCGTGGGAGCTCCAGACCCCGCTTGCTCTCGTTCTTCTCCGAGTTGAATGTGGAAGATGACAAATGACCTGGAAACGGGGAAATAATACACTTTGTCAGGAGACAGAAGGGGAGTTTAAATCTTGGGTGACTATAATCTAATGTAATCTAATTTCTCTTAGAAGTACAAAAAGGCCAGGTGTGGTTCTTGTCTATAGTCCCCGCACTGGGGAGGCTGAGGCGGCAGCGCCACACATTCAAGGTTAAAACAAAAAACCCCAAATCAACAACCAAAGGCACACACACACACACACACACACACACAAAGAAAATCAGAAATAGAATTGTCTTTCATAAGGTGATTTTAATTCACTTTCTTAGTAAAGTACCTTTACCATAAACGCACATTTTATATACACATTCACACACCCTAACACATACAATTTTATTATTTTTATTCACTTATTTTTTGTGCTGTGGACAAAGTACTTTGTTGGGTTTATGCTAAGCACTTGGCTACCATGGAGCCACACCACCAGCTCCGGGACAACCAATCTTGGTCTACTGAAGTTCTCCGGTTCCAGAAAATTGTGCAGTCCCAGCGTCTAGAGCCCTTCACCCCTCAGAGGCTCCCAAGTGTGGGTTTAACATACAACAAAAGCACACTGGGGAATCAGAGACCAGAGGGTCAGAAGTTCAAGGTTAACTTTGGCTACCTTGAGGTTCTAGGCCAGTGTGGGCTGGAGACCTTGTCTCAAACAACAAAAACAAAAATCAGGACAGCTAAGAGAGAGCATTGGGAACAGCTTGTAGCTAACACAGACTCCTATGTAGCGCACGCCGTTCTTCTTTAGAAGCCCAGGTTTTGAGTGCAAAGGGTTCGCTATGACTGAGTTGCTTCTTGGAGGGCCTCACACACTCTAGGCCTACTTACCCGGACCAATTTCCAAGTCATCAAGGGAATAGCTGTTCTCAGAGATCCTTCCACCTGCATTTCGGCTTGGGGTCCAAAGACTCTGTTCAGAAGACGGGAGATACTGACGTAACACTCAACACTTCATTAACAAAATCCAAAGGATCATTTTAACATTTAAAAGGAACATTTTAAATATCAAGCAGTATACAGTCACATGGACTCCCAGACAAATAAAGGGCTATATAAACAAAGCTTGTGAGATACTGCTTCTTCCTGCACTGAACTGTGCTTTTGCTTTCTTAGCCCCTCTGTTCTAAAGGTAACCTTGAAAATGATAACCTGAAGCCTGGTGGTTGCAGAGGCAGGTGGGTCTCTGTGAGTTCAAGACCAGCCTGGTCTACAAGAGCTAGTTCCAGGACAGGCTCCAAAGCTACAGAGAAACCCTGCCTTGAAAACAAAGAAACAAACAAACAAACAGATAAACAAAGCTCATTGCTACTGACAGCCACTGGCCAGCTTCCTCATGGGCACTGAAATGTTAAGGACTGCTGGAGGAGAGTCCTCCCATCCCAGGTGACAATGACAGGCCCCATAAAACCACTGAGGCACATGCAGCACCCCTCTATCTCACCGCACCCCGCCGTTGCTGCCTTGGCGGTCTTCATCATTGCTCTCCTTAACAATCCCATTATCTTCTTAATGGGTTCTTTCTCCCCATTCTAATCTAGTCCTCGAGAGGCTGCCAATACCCTAACTAATAAACAGTAATTATTCTAAAATCTGCATCTCCCTGAACTCCCCTGCTCAAAATTCTCTCAGAATTCCCAATTACCCTTGAACATCCCTGCAAGAGTTCAGTACAGCCCAGAGGATGTACTGACGATGTCTCCATGTATTCTGATACATCCTCTGTCCTTCAGGGAACTCAAACTGCTCTGAGGACCGCGCACGGCACAATAAACGAGGCTCCTCCGCCCAAATCACATTTGTCCTCTGTCTAGCAAATGCTATTCTTTCAAGACTCATTGACACTTGCTTCTATATACGGAAAGCTTCTCCTTCCCGTAGTGTGTGTGAAGGTGCCCGGTCATATTTTGTTAGTGTTTGGTAGAGCGCTGTAACTGTTCTCCCGCTGATCCGCGAGCTGACTGCAGGAGACTATGCCTTTGCACTCACTTCCAGGATTTGTAGACTGTAGCATTATTTGTTTGTTTGATTTTGGTTTTTTGAGACAGGATTTCCTATCTCCTATTTGGATAGACCCTTCCATAGTTACAAATTAGGTTGAGTGTAACGGGCGCACACCTGTAATTAATCCTGGAGTGGAGGCGGAGATGGGGGGTTAGAAATTCAGGGCCAGATTCTGCAAATATATATATGAGGTTGCAGGAGAACCTCCTCATAAAAACCAAAATACATAAGGTTTTAAATTACAATTTTAGGATTAGAAATATACTCAACAAAAAGCCACTTAGTCTCACAGAATATTCCCAGACGTAGCAGAGGAGGCATATGTAATAACAGTCTCCAGCAGATCCGTTTCCAGACAACTAGAAGTAGGAATTACGAGAAAGCCAGCGTGTAAGGAGGCAAGAGACACTTCCTCCCTCACTCCTCCTCACCCCGTTTCCTTCCGGTTGAGGATCAAATGCAAGGCCTCAAATACCCTAGGTAAGTGTTCTTCAGCTAAACTGAGTTCAACACATGAGAAACTTCTTTTTTTGTTTGTTTGTTTTTTTTTTGTTTTTTGAGACAGGGTTTCTCTGTGGTTTTGGAGCCTGTCCTGGAACTAGCTCTTGTAGACCAGGCTGGTCTCGAACTCACAGAGATCCACCTGCCTCTGCCTCCCAAGTGCTGGGATTAAAGGCGTGCGCCACCACCGCCCGGCTGAGAAACTTCTTTCTTAAAATCAAATGTAGTTAGCCAGGCGGCTGAGAAACTTCTTTCTTAAAATCAAATGTAGTTAGCCAGGCGGCTGAGAAACTTCTTTCTTAAAATCAAATGTAGTTAGCCAGGCGAGGGCAGTTAGCCAATCCCGGCAGCCTGTGAAGCTGAGCTCCCATCAATGGTATAAGACATAGTCACCACCTACCACACGGATAAAAGACAGGAGCCATCTTGGCCTGGTGTGTTGTTAGCTCCAACGCACCCTTTTTATCGAGGCATTGCCTTGTCAAGCTACTTCCGATTTCTCTGTGTGTTCCGATTTTGTTTGCTTCTTATTAATAATCACTAATGCAAGTTATTAAACTCTTAAATACAATGTGTTAACTGACTTCAAAAATTCACTATGTATTTAAAGCAATTTAATCCTTGCTAGCCCTAGTTATATTGTAATAATATATTTCAAATAAAACCAAAATAATGCTGGGAGCGATGACCTATAACTGTAATTCCAGGACCTGGGAGACTATGGGAGAAGGGCTGCCCTGGGTTCCGGGTCAGAATGGCCTATAAAGTAAGACTTTGTTTCATAAAACCAAAACAAATAAAACTCAAATATTGCCACATCATACTTGGGTCAGGACCACTCACATCAACTACATCTATATGACCCATTTGGCTCAATATTTTTGGTCTGAAAGAAGAAAACTGACAGCCGAGGTGGAGTCAAGGTCCGCATGACACTCCACCTACAGCTTGGGTCGGCTTGGTGCTAGAGAAGGTGGTTAAACCTCTGTGTGTCTAAGCAGGAGAACCAACATAAACTAGCAGCTATTTGGGACACTGACAGAAAATTAGCAGCAGCGACTGCTCAAATTCTCAAAGTTCAACTTCAGGTGTGACCGTGCTACAAGACCAATTCAGAAATTAGTATTTCCAGGACTCAAAAGGAGAAATCCTGGAAATTACAAACACATCTCAAACTAAAAGAAAATGAGTTCTGCAGCCTTCCCCCTGCCTTCTTCTACCCCCTCCCTTTCCTGCCCCCCCTTTAGATTTAGGTACAGTAGAGGATGAATAGGGCCTCACTGTCTGACCAGGCTGAGTTTGAACTGGGATCCTCCTGCCTTGAATCATGGATTATATATTTTTCTTGAAAACTAATTTTAAAAAAGTCCCTATTTTACAGTGTGTGCTGCACGCTCGTGTGCAGCACACACACACAAACACACACACACTCCTACGGCGCACAAGTGGAGGTCAGATGACAACTCTCAGGAGTTGGTTCCTGTAGCTTAAAAGAAACTGGATTAGGAGGCAGGGCCTTGTTGGAGGAAGTATGTCATTATGGGTGGCCTTTGAGGTCTCTCAAGCCCCTGGGTGGTGGTGAGTGAGGCAGAGACAGGTGATCTGTGAGTTTGAGACCAGCCTGGTCTAGAGAGTGAGTTCCAGGACAGGCTTGAGAGCTACAGGGAAACCCTGTCTAGAACAAACAAACAAAACACTAGTCTGGTTCACTGTCTCCTCCTGCTACCGGATGTAGAAAAGAACTCTCAACTTCTTCTCCTGCATGCTTCCCGCCATAGCAACGGACGAAACCTCTGAACTATAAGCCAGCCCCGGTTAAATGTTTTTCCTTTATAAGGGCTGCCGTGGTCATGGTGTCTCTTCAGAGCAATAAAACCCTAAGACAGCTCTGCTACTGTGGTATCTGAACTTGTCTTCAGGCTGCTTTAGCTGGCCAGCTCATGCTCTAGCCTGCGGTGTCATTTTGCGCCCCCTACATATATTTTTTTAAGATTTATTTATTACATATACCATGTTAGAAAAGGTCATGGGATCTCATTACAGATGGTTGTGAGCCAACATGTGGTTACTGGGAATTGAACTCAGGACCTTTGGAAGAGCAGTCAATGCTCTTAACTTCTGAGCTATTTCTCCAGCCCTACATATTTATTTTTTAAAACAAGCATTTTCTAACACACACACACAAATATAGAATGCATTGTGATCAGGCTCTATTTTCTTTTTTTTTTTTTTTGTTTGTTTTGTTTTTTTGAGACAGGGTTTCTCTGTGTAGCCCTGGCTGTCCTGGAACTTGTTCTGTAGACCAGGCTGGCCTCAAATTCGTCTGCCCACCTCAGCCTCTGGAGTCCTGGGATTAAAGGCTTGCTCCATCACTGCCTGGCTGGTTCCTCATTCCCAACAGAGGAATTTACATCCCTCAAAGATAAAACTCAAGTACAGTTCTACAAATTGCTGCTGGCAAAGCTCACCTTTGGTCCCAGCGCCACACCCCCGCCTTGAGTAAGGCTCCACACTAAAGGGGCAGGAACAAAAGCTGCCCTAGCTTTTAACTTAAACACTAGGATGGAAAGTGGGGTGTGTAAGCTGTAATCTCAGCATTTTATCACACCAGCAACTCAGCACTCTAAAGCTGGAGAAGCATCAAAAGTTCGAGGTCTTCCTTTTACATGGCCAGTCCCAGGCCAGCCAGGGCAACACAGTGAGACCCAAAATACGGCTATTTTCAGTGGGAAGAGAAGGCAGGAGGATTGGGAATTCAGGGTCATCCTCAGCAACATAACAAGCCTGGGTTAATGAGACCCTGTCTTAAGCAAAATAACACGGTTTAGGATGAGAACTCAACTAGCAGGGTGTTTATCTGCCTTACACACGAAGGCCTGAGTTTAATCTCCAGAATCCATTTCTTCTTAAAGCCATACATGGGTTATACACTTGTAATCCCACTTTTGGGGAAGTGGAGGCAGGTGGCTCCCAGAAGATCACCAGGCAGCCCCGGTAACGGTGAGATGGCACCTCTGTAGAGAAAGACGCTGGCCACCACGCCTAATGATGAACTGAAAGGGGAGAATTGGAGATTTCCCTGACTTCCACACAGGTAATATGGTAGTGCTCCCCTCCCCCAAAGGTAGACAGCTCCTGAAGAATAAATTTGGAGGCAGAAGGATCTGGCTGGAGGCAAGACTAGGGTGGGTAGGACAACCTTATCTCACAAAACCAAAAACCAAACCCAAACACCCCCACCCCTCAAACAGCAAAACCTAAAACATCAAACAAAACAAAACTCTGGGTTACTTGGGAGCCTTAGAAATGCCGTCTGGTGAGTAGGATTAGAATCGATCCAGAAAGCAAGGCAGGACCAAGGCTACCTGGGACAGGGAGAAGCAAAGACGCCGGCTGAGGAGGAAACTG